CTCCTTCCCTCCCTCCCTACCTCCCCATTCCTCTTCTTCCCCCCCCTCCTCCTCCTCCCCCCTCGCCCTCCTCCTTCCCCATCCTCCCTTTCCCCTCTCCTCCCCTCTCCCCCGTCCCCTCCTTCTCCGACCCCCCCCCCCAAGCCGATGTAAGTCCAAGCCGAAGAGGAAAACGAAGTGAAGAAACGAGCCCAAGTCGGCTTTTGTTTCTCCGGACGCCCCCGCCACGGCCCGCCCACGCCCCCTGCCCCGCCCCGCCCACGCCCCCGCCCTTGTCGCTTCTAGTTAAACTTTTTTTCTTTTTTTCTTTTTTTTTTTTTTGTTTTTTCCATTTTTTTTCTTTCGCTATCTCTCTCTCTTCTCTCTCTCTCTGTTCTTTCGGTACTTTCTTTCTCTCTCTCTCTTCTCTCTCTCTCTCTCTCTCTCTCTCATTACCATCCTTCTCCCTCTCCTTTCCCCTAACCCCCTATCCCCGTCACCCCTCACCCTCACACCTCACTCCCCTCATCCCTCCTCTCCCTAACCGCCCCTCACACACCCTCACCCCCTCACTCCCCTCCCCCTGCCATATTGCAGTCGTCTCTCTCTGTCTCTGTCTCTCTCTCTCTCTCTCTCTCTCTTCTGTCTGTCTCGTCTGTCTGCTGTCTCTCTCTCTCTCTCTCTCTGCTTCTCTCTCGTCTCTCTCTCTCTCTCTCTCTTCTTCTCTCTCTCTCTCTCTCGTCTCTCTCCTCTTTTCTCTCTCTCTCTCTCTACTCTCTTTTACGTTTTATTTGAATGATTTTTCATTCATTTTGTTTATTTTCTTTATTTCTCTTCGTTTCTCCCTGGCTCGCTCCCTGTCATTTCTTTTTTTTTTTCGTTTTTTCTCGTTTTTTTTATCATTTCCTGATTTTCTTTCACTTTATGTTTATTTTCTTTATTTTTTTTGGTTTCCATGTTTTTTTTCTCGTTTTTCTTTCTTTCCTGCGTTCCTTCTTTCTTTCTTTTTTTATTTATTTATTTTTTTTAACCTTTCGGTTTTAATTTCCGTGATTTTCCTTTCACTTTAATGTTTATTTTCTTTATTTTTCTGGCCTGTTTCTCCCTTGGCGCCTTTCGCGCCTGGCTTCCCTGTCGTATCGTCTTCCAGATGGTTCTCGTACTCCGAATCTCTTTCTGCTCGCCTTTTTTCACCCATTATTTCAAATTTTTTTTTTTTTTTTAAAATGCCTTTTTACGTGTTTTTGTTTTCTTTTTTTCCTGCGGTAGAATTTTCAATTGGTTTGTGTTGTTTTTTTTTTTTCTAAGTTTTTTAGTTTAAAATTTTCGGCAATTGCCTTTTTTCCTTTTTATACTATTGATATATTCTTTTTTTTTTTTTCTTTTTTTTTTTTCCTTTTTTCCTTCTTTTTTTTAAATTTATAATTTTTGTCCTTTTTCTTCCTTGTTTTTTCCTTTCCGTTTCTTTTTACTTTTTTCCTTTGTTTTCCTCCTCTTCTAGCCTCCTCGCCATCTCTCCTTCCTCTACTTCTTTCCCTTCTCCTCCTCCTCCTTTTTAACTTCTTCCTCTATCTCTTTCCTCCCTACTTCTCGTTCTTACGGTCTTCTCAAAGTAGCATTTTTCGTGCCGCGCGTGGCCCACGGGCTCCCGCCCCTCCCCCTACCCCTCCTTCCCACCCTTTCCCCCTCCTCCTTCCACCTTCCCCTCCTCCATCCCCTCCTCCCTTCCCCCTCCCCTTCCATTCCTCCCCCTGCCACGCTTCCCCCTGCTCCCCCTCCTGCCTCCCCACTTCCCCCTTCCTCCTCCTCACCCCCATCCACCTTCCCCCCCCTTCCCCTCCACGCTTGTCACCTCTCCCTTCCCCCCTTCCTCCCCTTACCCATTCCATGTCCCTCCCCCTCCGCACTTCCCCCCTCCGGTAATTTACGCAATATTTTTGCAGACGTTTGACGATAAGCCGATCAGAGGGCATATTTTGCAAAAAGTATAATCAACAACAAAAGCTAATCAGTTTTGGTGGAATTCTGGTTCCGGAAGACTAACTTCTCTGCTTTCTCTCGTTTTTTGTTTCTCTTCTTACTTTCTGTCTTACTGTTCTCTTATTCGTCTTTGGTTATTTTACTCTCATGTTCTCTCTTCCTTTTCTCATGCCATTTTTTTTTCTAAAACTTTTCCTGTCTGCACTGTTCTCTTTCATCCTTTCTTGATTTTTTTACGTCTCTCCGTCGTTCTTTCTCCTCTGTTTCTTTCCTCTACGCCTCATTATTCTCAACACTTTGTCTCTTCGCTTCCTTTCCTCTTTTTCTCTCTCTCTCTCTCTCAGTTCTCTCTTTCTCCTCTCCCTCATCTCCCTCCCCTTCCTTCCTGCCCTCTCCCCACTTCCCTCCTCCCTTGCCCTCCTCCTTCTCCGTTTCTCCGTCCGTCTCACTCCCCTTCCTCCCTCCCTCCCTCTCCATCCTCTCTGCCACCTTTTCCCTCTCTCTCTCTCTCTCTCTTTCTCCCATTTCGGCTTTGGCACATCTCGCTCTGAGCGCGAAATTTTAAAAATCCTTCTCACCGCCTCTACCGAGTGCAATTGCCCTAAGGGTGTGCATTTTTCACTCTGGTGACTTTAAACCCCTTTTAGCATTCGCAGGTAAATGCCATTAAATGAATGAGGTAAAATACTTCTTTTTTTTTTCCTTTCCTCTTTTGAGAATGATGATAATTTAAAAAAACATGAAAATAAACGCATTCAAACTTGCCGATATAGTTTAGCCAACGTGGCCATTAAAACTTTACTTTCGTCCCCCCTCTTTTTAGCAATTCCTTTCCCGTTTTCTACCCTAGAATAAACAGGGAGCGTAGTGATAATAACCTTAATAATAACAATAACTCGAGTAGCTTACATGTAACAAAGTATGCCATAAACCGTAAAAAAAAAAAAACAACGTACGTACAGTCTTCTCATAAACTCAATACACTACCGGCTTTTATTTTCTAAGAACGACGGACGGTCAAAACAAAAGCCCGTTTTATCATTACGACCCCTCAGGCCACCCCGCGAATCTAACCATAAAATAGTATTTTCCAAGCAGCTTTAATGATTAATAAACTTGAATAGCTTTAGATGTTTTGTCTTATTTTTCTTCTTTCGTTCTTCTTTCCTCTTTTTTAAAATTCTAATTAGGAAATGAATGATATAGGGAGAGGTTGACGGTTAGAAAACCGAGATTCATTTTTTTTGAATTTCGGAAAAAAATGGCGCGAACTTAAGAGAAAGAAATTTATTTCTTAAGGACAGAAAAGTGCCCTTTACATTCGGGCGGGTAAAATGTCGCTAATTTTTAAACCCAATGAGTGATCGTCGTGGCTGTTTTTCTTAAGTAATTTGTTTTGTTGTTTGCTTGTTTGTGTATCGTTGTGTGCGTGCGTGCGTGCGTGGTGTGTGTGTGTGTGTGTGTGTGGCGTGTGGTGTGTGTGTGTGTGTGTGTGTTTTGTGCTGTGTGTTGGTGTGTCTCTACTTTTATCCATTGCTTTTCTCTCTTGCCTCTCACTTTCCTCTCTCCTTCTCTCCCTCTCATCATCTCTCTGCTCCGCTGGGTTTCTTCCTTCCTCCTTCAGCGCCAAACAAGAACAAAACAAAACACCCAACAAAGCTAAAAACACACAAAGACAAACAAAAACCACGACCATAAACAAACAACACTCAACAAATACACCAACAAACAACACAAAACACAACAACCACCAAAGACACAAACAAAACATCAAAGACAAACAAACACACCAAAAGACAACAAAAACATAACAAATCAAAAAAACAAAACACTAACAAACGACAGAACAAACAAACACAACCAACAAAGTTCACAAGCCCCGAAATTGAAAACACCGAAAGCCACTGAACCTCCCATAAACCCTGTTACATGAACAGGTTAAACAACAACAAAGAGGAAAATCACACTACAAATTGAACAACAATCACCCCCGCCTCACTCCCCTCACCGCCCCCTCCCCCCTCCCCCGGTCAATCAACCCACCGATATTGTGGAACACCTGATGAACAATGAACAAAAATGAACATAAGTGAACACAGATATAAATTTTTGAAAACTGATTGGGCAGAGAGNGGCCAAAGCGGAAGTTAGAGCTGGAGTTGCTGGGGCTGACGTCCAGGTTGAGCCTGACCTTGCCCCGTTCGAGGTCCACCTCGAATACATTTATAGATAATTGTGTCAAATTTTTATCAAGTTTTTGTAAACAGATCGCGACAATAGCGGTGGTTCAATATACAGGCATTGCATTGGGTATATGCTTCTTTGTGGAGAGAATCCAACATTTTCAAACTGTGGTTACAACTGAATATACCTCACATCCATGGCCCAGTTACTACTTGGTAATAATATTGCTTGGTCAGGTCTCTACATGTGGGAGAGTTCCATAAAACAGATTGCTCATCTTCACATGATAGACACCCATACAAGTCATGGGTTGCACAACAGGCCCAAGAATTTTCACCATAAAAAACTACAGTGGTGAGAACTTGAACCCATGGTAAACTAACCTAAAGTGAATTTAATTCACAGCAGTCATTATACATTCTTTCACTGCCTGTAGACTCCCTCCTAAGCAGTACATGAACATGCAACCACCTTTGCAATGGCAAATACAATAACACTATTGACCCTGTTCCTAGCAATTACAAAGTTTTGCTAATCTAATGGCAACCATAAGAAGGCCATGCTTCTTGCTTTGAAGTCTAAAGTAAATTAATATGTGTGTAACATAGCAGCCTTTTAAAAAACAGGTTTATCTTAACAACAGTGTCATCTAGAAGAATCCATAATAAAACTGATTAGCAATGTCTCCATGTCAGTCTGAACTTATCTCAAAAATCATGCTGAAGAAAATTATTCAAAATATCATAAATAGTTGTGAACTGTGGTTACTGAGTAATAAGTGGAAGGCTATCAAATATAAAATGAACAGCCTATAGAGAATAAAAGCATAGAAATATAAAGGAATTTATAAAACTAAATTGAAGCAGTCTTGTAATTCACTTTTATTATATAAAATTCATATATCCAACAATTACCATTTTGATTTGTAAATACACACTACCTACGCATATGGATTTCAGTATTTCCAGTAAACATAGGTTACTTTTTTTAATACATATAATACAAATAAAAATATTTACACTGCCAGAATAAATTCAGTCTAAACTAACTGCAGATTTGTCTCAATGAGTTTACTTTTGGCTCTACTCTTTGCCGCAAGCTCTTGTACTTCTCTCTCTTGATCATCATAAAAATCTAATAGCTCTCGCAGTCTCCGCTTTACATAATCAACTGACTCCTTGTTCTCCTTTGCTGAGCATGGTATAATCTCATCAAATACAACAAACTGATCAGGACACATTTCTTCTGGAAATCTTGCACACACATCTGAAAGAGAAAAATATATATATACACAGTGACAGATATATAGGATGGCTGAATACCCAAAAAGATATATATTCTTGCATTTGTAAAATAGTAAATATTCCACATATAGTTAATAAGGCAGTCTTGGACTTAAGCTGCAGATTATCGTTTAGCTACAGAAGGTCCTTAACCGAACAGGATGATTTAACTGCATTTCCTGGCTTGTTTCATAAACCACATTCAAAAATTAATATATTCTCTGTGGAAGGTTTTTCAGAGGTTAATTGAAAGGTATATAGCATTTCCAACTACGAAATTTATGCATTTAATCATATCTAACAATAACCAACTTGGAACAAAGTTATGTAACAAATGAAATGGGATTAAAATGGATAAACTTAGTCCACTGAAATATTGAATTCTTGAGTTTGTGCTACAATGTGAATCATTCCACAATTCTATATAGCGCTTAGGCTTCCATCAGGAGCTTAACTTACACACTGTTATCAATATTTCTTTTCTTTGTGTGTATATATATATGTACAT